GATTTGAGCATAGATTAATATACTTTAATTAAGTTTAAATTTGTTCCTGAGTAAAATTTCAAAGTAATTTCTAAGATTTACTCACAGATTTATGCTCAGATTAATAGATTTTAATTAAGTTTAAATTTATTCCTGAGTAAAATTTCAAAGTAAATTTAAATAAAATTCCATTAAGTGACAGGAATTAACATAAATGATCGCAAAATGTTTCTATATATATATATCTTTAAAAAATATTTTTCATACAAAATGGACCAATTTTGGACATTAAAGATTTTAACTGAGCCAATGCAATCCCATAAAAAACAACAAATTAACAAATACTCCTTAACAAAGGACTTCAATATATATGGACGTAATTTTTATTGGGTGAAACAATTTCAGATAAAGCAATTAAATGTTTTTTATACATGTCTATAACAGTAAAGCACGGAATCTCCCAAGTATTTTAATAAAAATTAGATCAAAAAAATTATTTTATAGTATATTAAATTTATGTATCGCTAAAATAATTTTTCATGAACTAAAGTATTAAGTTTTTTCGTATATTTCTATGAAATATTTCTGTAAGAAAATGTCATTTTCTTATCCGTGAAATATAAGATACTGCGTACTGAAATAACTAATAGCGTTCGCAAAACTAATAATTTTTTTGCCAGTAAATTTTATTGTTTCGGATAACCTGAAAACTATTAGTAGATTAATTAGTAGATAAATTTTACTTATACAGTCGAATCCCGTTTTTGCGAAATTCGAAATAGCGAAAATTTCAAAGTAACGAATATTTTCCGAATCCCCAAATGTATTTCCATGTGAACAATGTATAAAAAATACCGATATTACGAAATCAATTATCCGATTTAGCGAAGGCGAAAATGAACACCAGGTCTTATTTTCTTTGATGAACAAGACACATTTCTTCAAAAATGTTCTCAGAAATGAAATGTTTTATCACCCTTAAAATACTAATAAGTTTCAAATGTGAAAAACCTGTCAAAAAAAGAAGAATCACTGGNCGGAAAAATTATCAAATTAATGGTTTAAGTACCGTATAAATTACTTATGATATCATACTAAAATTATTGCTTGTTTGTTTTTTACCTGAAATGTTGTTACCATTCAATAATGCAGTTTTACCCTAATTTTTTTCTCCATGCACTTCTTGAAGCTTGTTAATATTTGTTATTCCATTTTAAATAACTAATAAAATTATTTAAAAAGTCCTTTAATATTTATATCCAAATTATATTAATATTAATTATTTAATATTTAATATCCAAAATTATTTAAAAGTCCTTTAACTAACATATTAACTCATTTTAAGATAAATTATCTGTCTTAAAATTATTAAACTATTACAAGTTTTAAAACATTTCCATATTGGAACCAATTCAAAATCAAACGTATAAAATTATTTCTAAACTTTTGAAAATTTATAATGTACAAACCCACAAAAATTACCATGATAAAATATTTCGAGCTATAAAGTGTCGTAATAAAGTGTTTTCGAAAATACCGTAAATAGAATATTCAGTGAAATTGGAAATAATATATTTCCTAATATATCTCACTTAAGTAATCGATAAGCTAATAAATCTCAAACTACTAACATTTCACAAGAGTGATTTTAAAAGCGTCATTTAGCTACGATATACTCTGAAAATATAATTTGCATAACTTTAATATTTTTATATTTTTCCACAGCTTGCAAATATTAAATATTTTTATATTCCGAGCTGTTTCTTATTTTAGATTGAGTTCTCTAGTTAAACTATAAATGATTTACATTGCATATACTTTTAATTTATGCTTCCTAAATGTACAATTTTGTGGATATTAATTTCATATAAACAGATCTAAGAATAACTTTACCTAATGTAATGCCTCTGTGCTATTACTCATACTGATAAATACTTTTATTTCATTAACAATAATCTCACAAAAGCAATTTTACTTATTTTTTCCATTAACAGAATTTTTTTGTGCTGTCTTTCTCTAGTTTCTACAATCTGTTCCTCTATTTGTCTTGTGCTTATATGTTGTTCTTCGTATTGAGTAGCAAGCCCGTATACGTATATAAATATAAAATCATTTAGAATATACCGTTATAAATAAGTAAAAGATTTATTATTTTCGAATAAATTTGCCTAGTTGAGATAAAAGCATTTACGATTTCTTATCATTATTATCGCAAACAGCTGATTATAAAATTTTACTTAGCATGCCATGAAAAGTGCGATAGTGGTTCTCATTCATTTTTTTTACAATCAGATACATTCATTTTTTACTATCAGTTAGTCCCATTCATTTTTTTATTATCAGTTTTACTATCAGTGCAAATAACAATAATTTCATGTATATTACAGGTTACTCTGGAGTGATCACCCTTAATGTTTATTTTTAGAATCCTAATGGTTATTTTACGAGTGTTTATTTTTAGAATAAAGTTGACAAATTTATGAAATAAATGTTATGAACTATTTTATCATACAAAATGAGTAATGCTATAAAAATCTGATAAATCAGCGAAGAAATCGGTATTAAAAGAAAAAATATGTTTATCTAAGGAAACAGAGAACAAACGAAAGATATTGATAGAAATATTTCAAATTTCAACCGGCAGCTCTTTTTTTTTCAATAAGGAAATATCAAATATTAATAGCATTTTTCTTTTTTTCTCATTTGAATAATAATCTGCTATCCACAATATATTTAATTTGAGCCGCGATGGCTCAGGGGATAGAGCGTTCGCCTTCCAATGAGACGAACCGGGTTCGAATCCCAGTCGATACGAATTCCTCATCCGCTTTGCACCGACCACAGTGCTGACGTGAAATATCCTCAGTGGTAGATGGATCATGGGTTAGAGTCCCCTTACCCTCAGGCTAACCGTGGGAAGTTCTCTTGGTCTTCCTCTCTATGTAACGCAAATGCGGGTTAGTTACATCAAAAAGTCTTCCAAAAAGGCAAATTTCTCCCAATACTCGATCCAGGAGTTCCATTGTCTTCTGGATTGGGTTCAAAATTACAAGGTTATGGAGATGAACATTGGTAGTCGTAAACTCATGAAATTGGGTCGGCTGTTCAACGACGGTTACAAAATAAGATGTATTTAATTTTATCAAAAAGGAAAATACTACTAAATCTAATGAAGCTCAATCAATCAAAGAAAATGAATTAAAATTATCAAAACCAGTTTGACTGCTGGGTAAAATACGAAGGCATTTCTAATGGCCATTTCTCACACATCCTCTCAATTTCTTCTTGAAATGAATCCATGTTATACAGTTAATTCCACAGTTAATAACTAGAATTAAGTGTAGATAATCAACTGCTCAAAGTGAAGTTTCATAGTTAAAAGTTTGTTATAAAACAAATTAACTGCACATCTTGAGCTAATTAGAATAGCGATGTTTGGCACACTGTTCCTCCAAAACACCTTGACAGCTAATTTTAACCTTTAACTGTTAAATTTTATTAGTCTTAATATCAGAAAAAAAGGATGATTACTTTCTTTTTTCATTGAATGATCCATTTTTAATGGCCTTTCGTCAACAGAACAAATGTCGCTAAGATTTTTTTATAGGAAAGCAAAAAAGGAAAGAGGATCAGGAGCAAATAATCTAATCATCTAATAGATGCAAAACTCAGAAAATGGTCTAATCAGCTAGACGGCTAATCAATTTATCAGCTTTTTAGTGCATAAGAGAATTGACGTATATATGAATCAGTGAACGCATGTGAATTAATCTATAAGTAAATATTTAAAATTTTGCAAATCTATAATTTATAATGCAGCAATCAATAACTTCAATTTTCTTTCCCTTCCTTTAACAAATCCATGTGAGGCTAAAAACCTTTTCTTTTAAAGCAACTTAATTCTTTCTTGAAAATTACTTTTCACTGCGCAAAGTGTAAATAATTATCAGCTCTTAGATATCTAAACAAGTAGCGTAAGAAATAATACCGTTGCCTTAACACATTACTGAAGATTGTTCGATGACTTATATCAATAGACAAATTCTCTTCCTTGTAATGATGCTTTTCAAATTAGTTAGGAAGAGAGACATACTCCCTTATTATTATACTTGTTTTAAAATTATCTTTATAGAAATATATATCATTTTTTGCGACCTAATCAATATCATTCCCTATTATAGACATCACCTATTAAGTAACGTAAGGGAGATAGGAAGTTTACGATAAATTTTCAATCAGTGTGGAATTTTTTATGAATGCTAAACAAAAGTGAACTAACCATTATTGAACAAATTTACTACTTTTTATGTTTATTTTTAACTTTATTTTAAGGATATACGTAAACTTATTTAGATGGAAATATTATAAAATAATATTTTTTCGTATAAGTACTTAGTGAGGACAAATTATAAAATAGATTTTTTATACTATTGCTTATAAATAAGAAAGTCAAATCAAAATGAAATTAAAATAAAAATAATTCTAAAATCTTAAAATAATAATAAAGACCCCGGGCTAAGCTGTTAGTAAGATATAAATTTGACTTCCTACGGAAAAATAAATTTCTAAAAGAAGTTTCTTAAAAATACGAACATGCTTCGTTACTTGACTCGGTATGAAATAAATTAATAATAAGTAACTATTCAAAATATTATCCAAAATATTAGTTTTAATTTTAACTTTTTTCAAAACATTATCCCAAAAAAAATAATTATCTTAGTTTTTCTCAAAATGCTTTCCAAAAAAATTAGTTTTAATCTTAATATTTTTTTTTTTAAAAAAATTTAAAAATATAAAAGAAAGACAATATTTTTGCTACAAGATTTATATTAAATACTTATAGACAAATTTCAAGAAAAAGTATATATTCAATATTTATTTTTAAAAAATGCATATATAGGAAATTTAAACAAAAGAATAGAGTAGCATTACGTGTATTAAAATACAGAAACAATTTATAAAGACCATCATTCATGCACGGCAATAAATACGCCGAACAATTAAAAATGATATCCACCTACCTTCAACGATATCAATAAAACCAAATCCAAAACTTTATGAAATCGAATACGAAGAGAGGTGTTTAGAACAGAAGATGAGCTAAAGATGTTCTGGATCACAGTCTTGTGGAAAAGAAAACAATAAAACAAACAAACTGAAACAATAACCCAGAGGAACAGTCGGATGGAATGGCACAAGGTCACGTGGTTCTTTTAGCATCCCTTTTTCTCTTACCCATTGTAAAATTCGAAACTGAGATAGAGAAAAGTGTTTTTGATGAGTCAAGACTTGGCACTATTCTTGCTGCCACCTGCAAGTTTTTGCATTCGAATAGGTCTGACTACACTCTATTTCGAATTAACAAGTCATATATATTTCGTCTAAACTGATTTTAATCCCACATTAATTAAAAAAACGTCTTGCATAATCAGTTTAAATTGTTTTGATTATTTCCAGTGAAACGAACCGTAGATATTGAGATGATAGAAACAAAAAACGAAGTTATGAGTTTTATCTTTTATATTTTATATTCACACACTAATATTCTCCTTAAGAAATTTTTAATTTTTCCATAATTTATTATCTTATATACCTTGCCTTTTTGCACTAACATATGGAGCATAATTTAGCAATATTATCGCACTTTCTAAACTTTTATACACGATATTGGGGTTCACATGAGCACGATACTGTGGTTCAACTTGAATGACAACATGGCACAGTGGGCCAGTATCCAAGGTTTCGTGGCCAAAATTAGTATTTCGATGAAATTTGTTTCAAAATTTGGGGGGTTTTATTTAGGGGTTTTTATGTGCAGGTAAATTAAATTCATAGTTGAAATTTTCATGTGCACTAACAATACCCACAAAAAAATGGCGGTTGAAATAAGGCGAGCAAAAATAAAAATAATAATATAGTACGTTTAAATAATTAAATATAGCAATGAAAATATAATAATTTTCGTAATTTTATATTAAAAATGAAAAGCAAATTATAATTCAGAAGTAATATTACAAAATAAAGCGAAAACATGAAAAAAAAACATAATTTTTGTTTTTCGGTATATTTAGTCCACCTTTGCAATACGGGCAGGTATTTTCGAAAGAAGAAACGTCAAAGAAGACAACAAAAAAAGTTTAGCTAATTACCTCGTGGAACTTTTTGGAGATAAGTTTCGAAAGTGATTCAAACATTGTAAAATGTTAAATGATAAGATATAAACTATAAGTTTGTCAAGAATATTAACTAATCCAACAAATTGAAAAATCGTATTATAGTTTCAGACTAATTACTCTGATTAAAACGTAACAGTAAGGTGAAACTCCTATACATATTTCTAAAATAAAAATGTAAAAGTTACATTTAAAAAAAAATTTAACATATTTTTCATTACATTGTACTTTTGTCTGTCCAAAAAGTAAATTATAATGTTTGGAATGATTATGAATACTTAATTTGAGCTATATTAAAACTGCCTACACATATTTTAGTTGAAAATTTAATTTTTGACTTTTGGTCAAACATCATGGTCTTCTGGCCCACAGTGCGTGGGTCAGTTTATTACATAAAGGGCAAAAAGTGATAAATAAAGGTTACAACAATTTACCACCAGTTACTGATAATATAGTTTAACATTAAACTGATTTTTCAATGAATGAGTTTACGCAAGACCTTATTGCGGAAGCGCGATAAGTTAAAAATAAGAAAAATTATAAAAATAAATAAATTTCGTAACAAAATTTTGTGTAAATAGCAATGGATCAATAATTATAATAAGCAGTTCCCATTTATCTAGCATTACAGTTTAAAACAACGTATAAGAAGAATGTTTTTTTTTTTTTTTTTTTTTTTTTTTTTTTTTTTTTTTTTTTTTTTTTTTTTNTTTTTTTTTTTTTTTTTTTGTCTTGTCGTTTGCCTGTTTAGGCGATTGTTTTTGTTTTTCTGTGGCGCCATCTATGGCCAAGAATTCGACTTCTGCCACACCATTCACACAACCACAAACCCGTTTATAGGGTGGGTCACATTCACACACACATAGAAGAAAGGACATAGAACACACAGAGATAAAGAAACATCCATGCCTTGACCGGGATTCGAACCCAGAACCTTTCTGATGCAAGGACAGTTCCCTGCCCCCTACACAGACCGGTCGCCATGAAGAATGTTAAACTGCAATAGTGATCTCTCATTACAACTATTACAACTACGCCATACCTTTCCTTAGCACAAAACTAATAAAAAAAGGCACAATTGTCCACTTTTACGTTTATACATGATAGAAACAGACTTGCTTTAGCAATATTTTCTTACAATGAATTTAACTATCATTGGATGAAATCTTATATACTGCGTATGTATCCCTTTAGGCACTTAGGACCTTAAACATAATCCTTCCATCATCTCTTGTCCTTGCTTTTTTACAACCAGTAATTCTTCATATCTTGTAAAGATGAGACAGGCTTGGACTCGTTTATTTTTAAGAAAAGTTTTGGGCTTGGGAGGGCTCGAACTCATGAGGAAATTTCTATTAACTTCTTTACTACTTTTAAGCAAACGTTTGGTTCAATTATTACGTATAAAAAAAAATTTAATTTTTAAGGTACAAAAAATTACATCAATCTGCTACTCATGTTCAATGCTTTTGCTTTGTGAGACTAATATTAATTATCAATAATTTAACTCTGGATAGGGGGCTCTAAGAAATCCCGTGTATCTCGGGATGGGTAAACTTGGATCAAAATTCACTTTACCAATTCATTATTGTAGATCATTTTACCGTATAAACGTTGGTGCACCACGTCGAAATAAAAAAATTCACATGTAGATTTGAGATTTCCTAAAATGAATCGCAACAATCTTATATTAAGTTTACAGTGCTGATAGCGATTTTAATATTAATTTGCATATGGGTCATTTTTATGAAAACATTCATCTTAAAATAATAAATGAAATTCTTAATTTTATTAAATTATTAAAAAAACATATTTTAAACAATAGAGACTCATCTTTTGAATAGTTAATGCTCTATTGTGGTCCCGGCAAACCCTTACTTTATGTTAACCTCTCATGTTAAACCAGGTGAGGAAATGATACATTTATTAAAATTTTAATACAGTGTTTATGCTTAACTAATTTTTGAAATCATTCAAATGAAGTCATGTAAAATTGCAATTTATAATAACTACCTTTTTAGATACTGTTTTTTATATTTTTATTTTTAAAAGGTCATGAGATGATAAAATGATAAATATGCTGCATTCTTAAATTTATTCAAATGAATTCTACAGACGAAGATTCAGTTTGATGAAAGTAAAAACATGCGCTATTTTGTTATTTATAAGTCTTCAAAGCTACTAATAACGAAATTTAGTCTCCCCAGTGGTTTAGGTTGGTTAAAATATTATTGTGAAAAAATGATGTAACTCACTAGATACAAACTCTAAAACGAGTCTGTGGCATTTATGAAATATTTTTTATCATAAACCGAGTTTTAAATTGTTTTTCTTAATTCATTACTTCATTATTTTAAATTGAATTAAACAAATCAGTAATTTTATTACTTTTCTAAGAAACGATATTTCTAATGCTAATTTTACTGCGAGGACATCTTGAAGTAGTAAGGGCATGAAAGCATATTTTGGTAGCAGAAAATAAATAAAAATAGAAAAATAATGATCTTACTTTTATTATTTTGTTGAAGCACATTTCAAAAGATACTCATTTCTCCCGTCCCCTTAAAATTATACGTAAGTCATAAAACAAGCATAAAGTATAATGGCAACTGGGAAATGACTGTTTTTGTGAGAATGACCTGTATACATCATAAAACTGAATTTAAAGACACAAAAACGTGATACGTGGGAAGAAATATTGAAAACATTTCGATATATTTTTATATTATTCTACATTATATTACCTAAATTTAAACTAATTGATGGAATATATTTTGATAAAAAGAAGTACATGCATTGCCAATAATGCAAAAATTACTTTTTTAAGCTTCTGAAAAGGATTCGCATAATAAATTCAATATGTTCAGCAATAAAAAAGGGATAATCCATCATTCTAACCAACACGAATATTAGTTTCAAGTTCTTGGATAATGCTCAAACATTTTAAGTAAAAAATTCCTTTCTTACGAAATAATATAATGTTTCATAACATGACAAATAAATAATATCTTTTTTAATACCAAAATAATGTAAAATTCTGGAATTAGATTTGTTTGAAAATTTTCGCTTTACGTTTCTCAAATTTAAATGAAGTGAAAATTCAGATTTGTCTACTAAAATCCGTTCTTTTTAAAGTTTTTTTTTATTGCAAGGTGGAGATGGTTGTTGCTGTTGTTGTTAATTTACGTCGCACTACAGCTGCACAATGGGCTATTGGCGACGGTCTGGGAAACATCCCGGAGGATTGTATTTGTTTGACCAATCACAATTTTGATCCTCTGCGGAGGGGATGGCACCCCCGCTTCGGTAGCCCGACGACCTGCGCGCGAAGTCGAGCACTTT